ATTTATTTGATTATGTTATGTAATTGTTGAGATATGCAATTTTTTGTCACCGCCATTTTTTTCTTAACACACTGTATATTGCAATGATGCAAGAAGAATAATTATCGTGGGAAGTTTACAAATGTTGTAATTTGAAATTTTACTTGGTTAAATTGCATATATTATTATTATGGAATTCCCTTATTTTTTTTTTCCCCCCCGTATATTCTCTTTCAAAATAAAACGTCTTTTCTTTTTATTATTTTTATTACATTTCATAAAATGAAAAAATCAAATTCTTAATTTGAATTTTGACTTTGAAGTTAACTATGCGTAATAGTATTATTGATGTGCTTGAGCGTCTGAATTTGAAACACACACAGGCTAGTACGTAGAACGACCTTTATATAGTACATGAGACAGATTTAAGTGCAGGAATTTGTAAGTTTAATTTGAAGTCTTAAGAAAAAAAGAATGTCAAAATTCTTTATTGCTGAAACATTAGAATCACAGTGGATTTTGTCAAAGTTGTTCGTTTAAATAATGCAATTTTTATTCAAGATTTATTAATGTGAAAGAGCGCACACTATGATGACAGTGATAGATAATTATTTATCAATTTAATAATTATTTATTATCATTAGAAAGAGAGTAATTTGTATCTGAAATTTATTATGAAATGTGTTATAATGAAGTTACTAATAGTCATAAACGTGACAATGAAATCAGTAAAGATTATTTTCTTTTGAGATTTCTGGAAATGAAAAAGATTATTCTAAAGAAAATTATATTTATGGGTTTGAATTATCTATTGTAATTCAAAAACAAAAGAATGTAACAAGTATAAATTGACAAGATACTCTGATGGGTTCTGTGAAGGTTGTATTAGTTTACATTACAGAGACCTTTTCACTATTCAGACATTTGGAAATAACATAATTGATGATTTTACTCAACAATATCAAATGAAATCAATAATATTTGCCAGGCTAATTATAAAAATTGGAACCAACCACTTAAAAATTTTTTGATTGTAAAAACCTTCAGTTAACCAGTTAAATAAACTGTTAACTGAAGATTTATTTAGTTAGATCATACAAGATTATTTATTTGCTAAATTGTTTTCATTTAAACCACTGTATTTAGCCTATGACTGTTTTAAAAACTGATATTAGTTTTGGGTGTTATATAGTAATTACATATATTATTTAATTATTTCAATAAAAATTTTCTTTTTAAAAATAAAATTCCATTAAAAACTTTGAAGCTTTAAATTTTATCAAGCAACAAGTGATTGAACTGCAAGACATCCAAATCAAATTATTGTAAAAGATCAGGTTAAAAAAAAAATGGGGTTTTTATTAATTAA